CCTAAATCTAACCTCATTGCAGAAGTAAAAAAGGGGGTGTTTGTGTGTGTGTGGGGGGGGGTGGTTTGCAGCGTTGTCAGAAAATTTTTTGGCCTTGTTCCAACTCGTACAAAACCGTGCTTAAACTACCTTCGCCGCAGTACACTCGTGTCCTGCAGAAAAAGCCTTTTAAAATTTGGAAGGGGCTGTCAGCACTTGTTGCAACACATTTTGTTCAATAATTTATGCGTGTATACTCTGCATAATGGGAGTACTAGTATAATTGCTAATGTATAAAAAAAAATACTGCCAATCATTTTGGCGCAGCACATTTCTTGAGCCCCAAGGAAAGAGAAAATCGCGAGTCTTCCTTTTTTTTTGCGACTCCTACTTTTTATGAATCCCCCGAATTTTGAAGTTGACAGCTTGGCAGATCCGAACTTGTATTCTGAACTTTATCGTTGTTTGCTCAGTGTAGTTGTCCAAAATGCTACCTTTATTGAAATAGAAGTGCTCATGTTCACTGCATCATTCAGATGATGTTGAATTTTTCGCACACATATAGCTTTTCTCTAAATGTAAGCCTTTTATACTGCACCAAATTTGGTCTGTTGTAATAAAACTATAGACGTTTTTTTTTTTGGAACCTGCCCTAAATTGGAATTTTAGTGCGCCACAAGTGAAATTTCGCTGTTCCAAATAATGTTGCTCCAAACTATATTTTGGTTGTTACACCCCTGATACCCAACATCTCAGCAGCAGGATGTTGTGTACAATGAACTTGCTTCCCAATTTCTACCAGTTGTGTCAGATGTTCTCAAGGGTTCCGTACTGGGACTCTTGCTTTTCTTACTGTTTATAAATGGCAATGGTGACAGTGACATTGTGACGGTAACTTGATGATATTTGAATCTTCGATTGTATGCTGATGAATGTGTTTTATATTCTGTTTTAAATTCACGGTATTACCAAGTAAATGTAAATTCTGACCTTAATGGTAATGCTGAACCTCACCAGAATTGAGTCAAGGCGATCCAAGGACCACAGCACTTCAGCGTCAAGTTTTATGGCCACGATGGTTTGCGTCAGCCTGAGACATCGGCAGCCCTTCATGTTTTTTTTTTTTTTTTTACATACTCAAGTTGTCTTCTCATGCCGCAAGTGCGTATAGCTTCTGACCTTTGTGCACAAGCTACTCTAGTTACATGCGTGGTTCACACTTGTCTGGGGCGCGCTGTGCTGGCGCTGGCTGCAGAGCTTTTCCTAACGACAAGAAGGCCTTTGGAGCACATCTTGACCCTGAACACGGAGCAATCTCAAACGTTTTAAAACAGCGGGCGATTTTGCCTTTTTTTTTATGAAAGATATGTGCAAAAATGCAAAGAAATATGCTTGGATGCATATATTGGAACAACAATCTATGCAGTGTGAGGTGGCTCATCGAAAGAGGTGACGCTAGGTAAAATATCGAAGTTCATGGGACATCTCATTTATAGAGGGATTACTCACATCACAGATATTCATCTATATTGGAACGCCCGAAGACATTTATCGCGTTGTAACAAACGTTTAGTGAGAAGAGTGTATGAGTACAATTGTGTCTCACGAAAAAACATGCAATACTTCACCGCAGGGCACGAGCAACGAATCAGCACCTCAGTTCTAATTTTTTTTGAAACATTTTTGTACGATCCGAGTATTCTTACCCGATGCCGACTGGTGCCAAAGCCTGAAAACGCACTCGCTCATCACGGCTGATCTTCGTCGCACCGTTTTGTGTGATTTCTTGAAATTACAGAGATGCAAATCATTCATTCTTTTTTATGCTGTTCCTGGGTCCTTTATCTACATTATTCATGGTCTAAATTTCCTTTGTTTTGAATACTTTTGCATATATAGTTTTTTTATTACAGTGTTTGCTAGCTGAAGACCAATAATTATACACTTTTTTATTCATTCTAAAATATTTTTTTGCTCTACAACATCTATTTTTTTGAAAGAGCATTTTATTGTGTAAAGTTTGGCATGCTGCGATGCATGCTGTAGTACTTTTTAAGCAGGCATGGATGATCTTCCGGAGACACATGAAAAACAACTATTTTTGTGCAGTAACGAAAGAGTTAAACCCAAGTAGTTGAAGGGGCCCTGAAACACCTTCTTAAGTAACCATAGAATGAACTCACTGGAAGAGCTTATTGCCTCACAAATTCAATGCCATAAATATTTTAGGAATCCGTCCAATGCGACCAAAGTTACAAAGATTTGTTGCACGCTGCAATCGCATTCTTTCTTCTCTCATCCTGACGAAAGTGCTCGAAGCTAAGCAAGGAGGGATAGAAGGGGCAAAGAAAATATGTCTCGCGAGCCTCGTGACCTTGAGCAGTTTTTCTTTTTCTTTCTTTGAATAAGCAACTTTTCCAGTGCAATCGCGCACGCGTGGACAAGTCACGCCCTTTCACGGCGATCTCTGTAAAGATTGAGCGTGCCATGTTCAGATCAGCCAATAGCTGATAGATGGTCTTCTACAAGTCATTTTCGAGCATCTTCCGTCATTTGTCAAGGAAAGAAAAAGCAATTTTTAGCTTAATTAAATAACTGTGAATTCCAGGTCGCGTGCTTCCCTGTAGCATTTGGCTCGTGTGTTCTCGAGAGCCTCTACTACCAAATGGCAGCGTTTTCGGACCATGCTCAAGAAGTGTTGCAGGGCCCCTTTAATATTGTCACCGTGTTATGCCACAAACACAACAGTGAATGCAAATGATGAGATAGCACGAAAAAACATGTGCAGAGTATTCACAAGTTTAAGTGGCACTATGCCCGCACCATAGCAGATTGCCAGTGTCTTTTGCAGTAAATCTTAACTATTTGGTTAACATTAGTATGGACGATATGCTGATGCATGTATAACCAATTTAAGAAAAGGAAGGGAGACAACCACAGATTTGTAGCCTGAAACTGCAAAGAAAATTTAAGGATTTCGCAAAAAGAAAAGCTTCTTAGTTGCCACAAAATTCGTACTGGTTCGGGGCGCAAACCCGGGACCAATGCCTTTTCGCAGCGGTCACTCTGCCAATTGAGCTAACCAGGGAGCTAGGATTTTGTCAGTGCGAGCGTAATTGTAGACTGGAACGCCCTGCCGTTTGAGTCGTTACAGAACATTGAACACTTTGATTTTATCACTTCATAACGTTAAGCCCCAAAATGCTCCTATCGCTGCGCCATATGTTATTGCGAATATGTATTGGTGTGTATAGTTTTGTGTAAATTTACTTAATTTGGTCACGAATTGTTACTAATTTATGTGGTGAAAATTGCTGTTGAATATTAATTGTCATGCGTACATTTATTAATTTTGTGTGCCTTGACTGCTGATTGCTTGTGATTTTTTTTTCTTTTTTTTTTTCCACTCCTGCATGGGCTCTGAAGAGAGCCTGCAGTATTTTGTAAATAAATAAATAAATAAAAATTTATCGACAATTCGTAGCACATGAAAGCAATTGACAGCGCAAGCATGCATTCATGTCTAATCGAAGCACATAGACACAAGTATTGCAAATGAGTTTTGCGAAAACCTGCAAAATGGCAAAAGGGTTAAGAAAAAGAAGAAAGACAACCACCCATGAGTAGCATTAAGCTACAAGGTAGTCCGTACAGTGGGCGCAAGAGGCTTGGCACGATGTGCACGCCAAGTAAGAGAAGCGCTGCACGCAACTAGCCAATAGATGATCGGCTCCCTGTGGCCGTATCGTGTCTTTCCGCTAGGTAGGTGCTCGCAGTACACATTTATCGCAAACAGCTGATTGTGTCCGTTTGGTCACTATGTCAGTTGCTGCGTTGGCTGCGTATCCCGGACTCCGCACTATAGTATCGAAATGCTCTTTGGTGTCGCCACCCCATGCCTCTGACGGTTGTGCAAGCATGCCAATCATTCCTGAACAATGACAGAAAAAAAGTAATGGCTTTGTGGTGGGTACTTAGGCAATATTTTTTGCTGTGACACTGTATTTATTTCTTTTTTAGCAATGACGGCGCATTAGAGAAATGTGGATTATTACTTAGTTGTAGGCGTGCACACGTAGAGTGGATGGTGGGGGGGACTCAAAGCCAGCCCCATACACTCATACAATGGGGGGGGGGGATGCACCATACATCGACATAATAGGAAAGGGGGCGCAAGGTCAGCCCCATACATTCACATGATATGAAGGAGAGAAAGTGCTGCACTAACCTCTGCCAAAGGGTACCCTGCGCACATTCATGTATTTTGTGGTTAATTGATTCTACGTTTAGTGCGTAGTTGGTGGCATTCCCAGCATGTTTGTATGTAATAACGAAGTTTTACTGTAGGGAGCTTTGAATGCGTCTGTGTGTGCATGTGTTTGTGTGCGCACTACTTCAAACTTTATGCTGCAGCTAGCTTGTTGGTGCAATATATTTCACTATCTTATGCCACCGCTTCTGTACATAATTCTAGTTTTGTTTATTTTGTGGGCTTGCTGCTTCCGTATAAATTGTTACGTAAATTACACTAAATTAAAAATAAATTTTCTTCCTCAATTTTTATCATGAAAAGCCTGCTCCAAACACTGAGGTAGCTGCTCGAAAGGCAGATTTTGCCGGTTTCAATGACTGCTCCAAAGTGGAGGCAGGCATTCCCACCACTGCAAATGTGAAGAATCAGGGCTGTGAAAAAAAAGCATGCGAACACAACCTATCACGCCCACCCTCTCACAAAGCTTAGGAAGATTAGTGTGTGTAAATTTTAACATCTGTGAAAAATTGAAGTTTCTTGTTTAAAAAGAAGGTTCACTCACACATAACCCAATCCTTTCTAATGTGGAAAAGTGTTGCTCTCTTATTGACCTCTTCCCTGTACACAAAACACTGAAATTTACCCATACATGTTGCTGTGCAAGAGCAGAAAGGCCGTGTATCTGTTGCCTTGCTGGAACAAATTTAATGTGATTTTAAGGAGTCATGTTATTCCAAACAAGTGTTGCCAATTAAAACAACTTGTGCAGCGGGATTCATCCGGCCTGTGGTACTGTTTGGACCAATGGCAGACGTGGCTCGAGAGAGGCTTCTCAGAGACTACCCGGACAAGTACTCTTGCCCACGTGAGTCAACTACTTTCTTTGCACTTAGCATGATAGGTGCAGGCTTTAAAATTTTTTTACGTTGGATCAGACCAAAAATCTACATGAATTCAACAAATGAGGTCATGGGTGGTGTAGATGTAGTGTTGGACGTGTGTATGCACAGGAGAAGCGGGCGCGACCGCATGGTGTAGATCCCAAACATCAACAAGTTTTCTTCGGGTTATCTGGAGGTTTTGGAAAGCAGCGGAAGGTGGCACTGCCTGGTTGCATGACTTGGCTGCCGCCACAGCACTCCCCTCTTGATGAGTTCGCCAACAGAGTTACAGATTCTGGCGAGTGAGCACTCTTGATAGCCGCCCGCTGTGCGTCAGCCAGGGGGCCACCCCATGGACTTTGGCTGGCGGTCCTGGCGATGATTCCCTTAGCGGAGGTAACATGGCGTTGTCACAGTTCATGTGTGCTGGCTTGACGTGGTTCAATGGCACAACCTCCTCAGGGCCGCTTCTCTTGATTGTAAATTGTTTGTTGCTACAGCGGAGGACTTGAAAAGGCCCATCATAGGCTGGCAAAAGAGGTTGTCGGACCACGTCACGTCATACAAACACATTAGGGCATGATGTGAGCTGTGGGTAGACATGCACCACACGCAACTCTGGGGGCCGTGAAAGTACAGCGTGCAGTTTGCTCATGACGTTGCATTGGCGAAGTGCGTAGTCGCTTCAATCTATAGAGGCCTCCTTTGAGCCACGCACAAAGAGCTCTCCCAGCAGCCTGAGTGTCATGCCGTAGACCAGCTCAGCGGGGTTGCAGCCAATGTGCTCTTTCAAGGTGGATCTTATACCCAAAAGAACTAGTTGGAGGGCCTCCACCCAGTTGTGTTCCTCCGTTGCTCTGAGTGCAGCTGCCAGCTGGTGGTGAAAGCTCTCCGTCATGCCGGTGCTTATGGGGGGGTACGCCGTCGTGCGTGAGGTGCCCATGAGCTGACCAATCGCTATGAAAAGGGCTGATTCAAATTGTCGACCACGGTTTGTTGTTATCATGGAGGGCACCCAAAAACGGGCTACCCAGTGGTACAGGAAAGCACTCACAACTGCCTTGGCGGTAATGTCCGCGATAGAGATTGCCTCCACTCAACTGGTGAACCTGTCGACACAGGTCAGCATGTAAGCCTTTCCGTGGCAAGGTGGCAGTGGGTCAATGATGTCCAGGTGGACATGATCAAAGCGAGAATCCAGAGTGGGGAGTGTTCCCAGTGCTGTCGAGGTATAGTGTTGTATCTTAGAGCACTGGCAAGCTACACATTCACCTGCCCAGCATCGGACGTCTTGATTTACGCCTGGCCTGACAAATCCTGCTGTCACCAGTATTTGGGTGGCTCGAATCTTCGGCTGATAAAGTCTGTGCAATAATAAAAGTTTATCCAATCCAATCCAAGGACTCGAACACAAGGTGTCGGAGGCTCGCGGGCACGAACGGGCGAGTTCTACTGGTGCTTGTGTCCCTGCAAACCCTGTCATCGAATCCGAAAACTGGGATCCACTCAAGATTCAGGGCAGTGGTTGCAGTCAACAGGTGCTTCAGTTCGTCATCTTCACGTTGAGCGGCTGCGGAAGCGGGAAAATCGACCTGTAGTGTGGGCATGATGACGGTCACAGGATTCCGTCGAAGGGCGTCCGCTACCTTGTTGTCCCCACCTTTGACGTGGCGAATATCAGTCTTGAACTTTGATATATAGAACATTTGGTGCCATTCACGTTCTTTGTGCGTTCCATTGTTGGAGCTTAGCGAACTCAATGCATAAGTAAGCGGCTTGCAGTCAGTGAGGACAAAAAACTGTACACCTTCCAGGAAATGGCCAAAATGTCACATGGTAGCGTACATGGCCAGCAGTTCTCTCCAGAAGGTGCTGTAGCGGCGCTCGTTAGGCCTTAACTTCCTCAAAAAGAAGGAAATTGGCCATCAGATTCCATTAACAAGCTGCTGTAATACAGCCCCAAAAGCTGTATTCGGGGCATCCATTATTATACTTTGCAGGACATGGGATCTGCAGTATTCAAGCAGTGCGCCGTTTGCCAAGGTGTCCTTGACTTTGCAGAAGGCTTCTTTTGTTTTTTGAGACGAGGAGAGGGTGTCTGAGTCATTCCATGAAGTGGCCAGCAAGTTGTGATGAGGTTGAATTATCTTGGCACAATAGGGAATAAAACAGTGTTAGAAACTTACCAAACCCAGAAATTTCTGAAGTTGGCACTTGGTGGTTGGCTGCAGAAATCCGGCTGCTAATACAGCAGTGCCCTGTAGAAAAGCATATTCAGATTTAAAAGGGGCTGTTAGCACTAGTAACTCACGAGACACAGAACACTTTTTTTCTATCACCCTTTGTGTATATACTGCGTAATTATGAGTACTACTATGATTGCTGACATCTGAATAGGTTACTGGTTTACTAGCGATCACTTAGAGCAGTGTGTGATATTTCCGCAGCCCTAAAAAAAACAAGAGAGTGACTTTTTTTTTTTTGCCGCTTCCATTTTCAGTTTTAAGAATCTCCTGAATTTCAGGGTCCCCAGCTTTTTTTTTTTTTTTTTTTTTTTTTAGAGATGCGATTTTGGGGGGGTCGTCTTACAATCGTGTAAATACGGTAATTCGCCCTTCATCTAGCCCTTCGTCGTCGCCTGTGGTTCTGGTTCGTAAGAAAGATGACTCCGCGCGCTTTTGCATCGATTACCGGGCGCTCAACAAGATCACTCGCAGGGACCTGTACCCAATGCCTCGCATTGACGACGCCCTTGATTCTCTGCAAGGCGCGAAATACTTTTCTAGCCTCGACCTGCGTTACGGATACTGGCAAATTCTTATGCAAGAAGAGGATAAAGAGAAAACGGCATTCGCAACCCCCGACGGGCTATACGAATTCAACGTTATGCCTTTCGGGCGGTGCAACGGGCCGGCTACATTTGAGCGCATGATCAATACCGTGCTGCGCGGCCTCAAATGAAAGACCTGTTTCTGCTACTTGGACGACATCGTCATTTTTTCGTCAATGTTTCCTCAGCACCTCCAGCGTTTGGATGATGTTCTGACGTGCCTTGCCTCCGCTGGTCTCTAACTCAACACAAAATGTCGTCTTGCCACAAAAGCTATCAAGGTTGTGGGCCTTGTTGTGACCAATGACGAAGTTTGGGCGGATCCGGACCACGCCCCGAAAGGCAGAAGGAGTTGCGAAGTTTTCTTAATCTCGCCTCCTATTTTCGCCGTTTTATACGAAACTTCCCATCAATAGCAGCTCCACTGCACCAGCTTCTTGCTTCCGACCTGCCCTTTCTGTGGTCGGAAGAATGTCAAACGGCATTTGACCTGTTAAAGTGTGCCCTCACATCTGAACATGTACTCCACCACTTTGATGAGGCCGCACCGACCATCCTACATACAGACGCTTGCGGCCGCGCTATAGGTGCCGTTCTGCTCCAACGCGACACCTCTTCACAAGAGAGAGTAGTTGCAAATGCCAGTAGAGTACTAGCCGCGACCGAGAAAAACTATACCATAACTGAGCAGGAGTGCTTGGCTGTGGTCTGGTCAGTGCAAAAGTTTTGTCCATATCTCCACGGCCGTCATTTCACGATCGTTACGGACCACCACGCCCTATGATGGCTTTCCACATTGAAGAACTTGTCTGGACGCTTCGGTCGTTTACATGAGTATGACTTCTGATGCATCGTCATTTGCACATGTCACTGCCACTGCGCACGTTGTGTGCGCATACCCTTCAGAGGCTATAAAAAGCCTCGCTCTCAATAAACATTGTTCACTGTTGTACATTCGTGTCTGTACGCTTCAGTGGCGACGAGGCGGTCGAACCATTGGTCGTGCTGCGACCATGGCTGCGCACGCGGGCCCACCGGGTTTTGATGAGGAGGCGGACAACTGGGAGGCTTACCGGCTACGCTTGGAAGCATACTTCGAGGTTCACGACGTCACAGACGAGAAGAAACGCAGGGCAATTTTGGTCACGGCGTTGAGCACAAAGACAGTGGATTTATTGGCTGCACGATGCGCGCCGGCGAAGATACAGGACCTGAAATACGAAGACGCTGTGAAGTTCCTGGGTGAGCGATTTGCTCCGGCGTGCAACGAAATCGCAGAATCGTACAAGTTCTTCACAAGGAAGCAGCTTGCAGGAGAGTCGGCAAATGAATTTCTCGTGGAAATACGAAAGATTGCAAGCAGGTGTAATTTCGGTAGCGCCCTCGACAGGATGCTAAGGGACCGCATTGTTTGCGGCCTGCGCGACGCTAGTGTTCGTCGGCAGCTGTTGGCAAAAGCGGAACTCACGCTGAGGAAGGCGGAAGAGGCAGCGCATGCAGCAGAGATGACAGCGGCAAACGTAGACCACATGGCCAGCGCGCAAAACACGGACAATGTGCACGCTATGACGATGAAGCGCAGAGGCCAACCAACTAGGCATCCGTCACTACGAGAGTCGAGGAGCAGGGAAGACTGGCGGCACGAAGGGACGTTGCCCATGCTGCGGCAAAAGTGGTCATACAGCGGAAAAAATGCAAGTTCCGTTCTGTTAAATGCTTCACTTGTAAGAGGCAAGGACACCTAGCCCGTGTGTGCCAGCAGCACCAGTCCCGGCAAAACAAAGTATTCCACTGTGAAAGTCAGTGGTCTGATAATGACGACTACGAACAATTTCTGCTCAACTTGCAAGTGGCATCGATGAACATGGTCCAGCCAATTTATCGCACCATGGAATGGGATGGCGTGGCCCTCCGAATGCAAGTAGACACCTGTTCCCCCGTGACAATCATCACATGGCCTACCTACACCAAATACCGTCACATTTGGCCTCGGCTCCACAAGACTACCTTGCAACTGACTTGTTTCCTCGGTCAACTTCCCGTCAAGGGTCAACTCAATATCTCGGTGACGTACGGCGGGACCACACTGGACGCTACCTTGGTGGTGCTGGAGTGCTCTGGACCGGATCTGTGTGGGCGGGACGTCATCAAAGC